AGCATAGGGTTAAGAAAATATTGAACTGCTCTTAGTATCCAACACGAGCACAGAGAGCTACTAGAATAGTCAGGTTCTTTATGTATTAAGCGAGGAGGTCCGAGGTCCCAGGGGGTAGAGACATTGTTCGGTGGATAACATGATTGTTAATAGGAAAAATCGTTTACGACATTACAGCCAATATTTAAAAGTTAGTCTTTTGGCAGTTAAAAGTAGTAAAAAAAAAAAGAAATTAAACCAAATTAAGATAAAGTGGAACGATGACACTAAGCTGAGACAAAAAATGGAAATGATAACACGTGTATAAAAAGCAATGGAAAGCTGCTAACCTTCAAATCCACATAAGTTCTATGTTCCGCATTATCAAAAGCTCTCTGCTTAACATCGCGCCATCTGCAGAAGACCACCACCAGAGTGCAAAAGAAAAGGACAGTGAACAAAATGAAAGAAAACAAAAACAGATCCTGCAGCACATAGAATAACATACATTCAGCCTTTTCATGCATCTTTTAACAATTTATGCATTTTATAGCTACATCTCCGTTAGTATAGCTTGCTGAGCAAGAACCCACCACATTTCCTATAATTCCATATTTAGGTTTCTAATGGACGTACCTTCCTGTTCCAAGCTTCTCAACGGCGTGAACCAATGCTTCCACTTCAGACACAGTAAAAGGCCGACGCATTCGACGTTGTGCTGACTCAGATTGCTTAGATTTGCGCATGGGAAAATTAGCCAATGCCTCTCCAATTTCAGGAACAGCAGCCAGTGCTAGTGAACCTGCTGTTGAAAATATTGTTCAAAATTGATAAAAAAAGGGTCGTGGAATAATGTGGAATGAAAATCAATATTGGAGGCCAAACTTGGCTGCGGTCGCATAAGCCAAGTTTAATCCCTGCCGTGAAGAGAACTATGCGGTCGCAACTATGCAACCGCATAGAAGGCCAAAATAGCCATTTATGGCCGTAGCTATTTGAATTTTGGTGGCTTTTCAATTGATTTTGGCACCATTTCTTGGAAGACTATTGAGGCCTATATATAGGTGATCAATGTTCAAAGGCTTCTTGATGATTATCAATCTCAGAAACATATTTTATTCCACACATCATTGAAATCAAAGATCCCTTCTTACATATTTAAAATTTCCTTTTTGTGTTCTTGAAGTTTTGGAGGGTTTTCACTAGTGCTTTAAATCCTTTACAAGGCTTGATCAATCCTGCAAACCATTTGTCATAATCCCTTTAAGCATCATTTATAATCCGAGAAGGGGCAAATATAGTTTGAGGACAATGTTTTCGTGTTCTGGCCTTATTTTCATCTCTCCTTTGATCTTCCTTTTGTTATCTCTATTGTTTCTGGTTTTTTGTTCTTTGCTTTCATTTCCAATCCCTCCTTGTGGAAGAAATTATAGACAACACCTGTAGGGGTTTTCTCTAATGACATAACAGGAGTAGAAGGAGCTGAACCATTATGGCTTTCAGGGAAATTCCTGAAGTCACTTCGCACTGGATCTGGAAGAGCATCCAAAATTCCCTGCTCGACAGCATCTTGATCCTCATTGGCAATAGGAGGGCCCCTGGTGGAGCATATGTAAAAGATTGTGAGACCGAGTAAACAAACTGTCACCAAACAGATATTATCGCACACCAAGAATACCATGCTAAGGGTTGTGGAGAATCATGAGGAAGTTGGAAAGGATCTTCTGGACACGGTGTTGGGGAAGTTTGAGTAGGGTAGGGCTCCAGCGTAAAACCCAGAGCATCTGATTTGTTATCATGAGAAATTCCGGTCTGCAATAAAGTTCTGTTATCATCTCTAATCTTTTTACCCTGCAGAAGCATGCCAACACGTAGTCCATCACCGAGTATTGCAG